GGGTACGATACAATTGGGTCTCATTTAGTTGCGTGTAAATTTTTTGAGGGTGGCCACAATACGTCTGAGCGGCAAGCGGGGGTAAGCGTTCATGGTTCCGAGTCCAAACCGATTTTCACCAAAACGCTGCTCGCCACTCAGGTGAGTCATGCTTCAGTTCTGCTTAAAATGTCAGGAAAAGCAGGAAACCTGCAAACCACCAGCCAAACTGAAGAAGACAGAGGTGAAGTTAAATGATTCAAATAGAAGTTTTAATAAGTGAGGTGCAGTTCAGGGAATGTTTGTGGAATGACAGGAGTGAAGGTTTCACAAACACTACAGTCACCAGAAAACTATGGGACAATTTGGAGCTGAGTTTTTCTTTAAAAGAGAATTGTCTGATAACAACAATAGTTGCAATACGTCTTGCTGGTAAACAGTTTGTTTGCTATCTTCGACTAAACTGACTCATACAACGGGGGAAATTCGATGAGCGTTATAAATGTGCTGCTTGCTGCTTGTATCGCAGCCACAATTTAATACATGGTTATTTGAATTGGCAACTGTACATTATGAAGTAACTGTCAGCGTAGTTTAATAAGATAATTACAAACACAACTAGAACTAGCTCATACAAAATTTATTCTCAATCCCAAATTAAATCCAGAAATTCCAAAGGAAACAATGAGACTAGAGTTCTTAACCCAAACATACACATGTCTCTAGAACGCACCAGATCAGACAGTGACCTGACCTAGACTCCAGGTCAGAGGTCACAGTCAAAGTTCAGATCAGGTCACTTGGACTGAGCATTAGGCTTTGACACACTGACGTCAACTTGTTGATGGCTCTTTTAATTACCAAAAAAAGTACCTGGCCTATTTGTTTATATTCCTGAGTTATAACCGACATTTCTCTTTATTTAATGTGCAAGAGCATAGATTTGTAGCTGCAAAGAAATTATTATAATACCGCAACCTTCATTAAAACTTACTCGAATGTATTTATGTGTGCGATTTTGTTTACTATTAACCTTAATTCAAGAAATTCTTTTAATGGACTGTATATAAATAAAATCATTTGTCTAGCAAACAAAATTATTTTCCCTTGACATCTTTCTTTAATTTACAAAATAACTTCTTGATCAGCATTGTACGTGTTATTAAATTTGAGGATAGTCTAGATATTTTAAAGAATTGTAAGAAAGGATATGTAATGAATGCTTGGGAAGAATTGTATATTTATAAGGAAAAATGTAAAAATAGAAATAAGTTGATTAATGAACAAGTAAATTTCGATTCCAGTTGTACTTATAAAAATGTACTGGCCGGTGTTTCCGGAAGCCAATAGGGTATAAGTAGGGACGCCATTCAAGATTCTTGTCATTCGCCTATTGGGTCTGATGATGATTGGAGTGTCCAATCGAAATCGATCACCACTTACCATCTTTTGTATATTTACCGTCTTGTGAGTAACAGTATAAGCGTAAATATATGTTTTAAGTGTTATAAGACGTATCTTTATTTACTTTCCGTTTAATTTACAATCAGAGGCATATATGGGAGACTCCCCACTTTCCAATATTCAGTAAAAAAAAATACTAAAATTTAGTTTGGCATTCTGTCCTTAAATTTGAGGAACTGTATTGCATTTAATTTTAGGTGATTTGTAACTAGAATGGACCAGTGTTAATTTTTATTCCCCGCGCAGAGGTAACTTTTGCACATTTTTCTTGTTGGGTGTCCATGACATGACTCAAAGTGTGTAAATATAAATGTGTACTGCAGTTTTTTACATTAAATTTATAAGTTTTACTGGCGTAGGATAGGGTACATATGATATACCTAAGTGTTTCCATTAACACTAATAGTACAATTATGAAAAGTGTTTTCTATAACAGATGACAGTAATTTCAATGTTTCTCCCTGAGGGAATTGCTAGTTTTTTATGATTATAGGGCAGATCACAAAAGCCCTCAAGACGTGTTGTGTAATGAAGGAATAAAATACCCTTTGGTATACAGTACCCATAATTGCGACAGATTTATCGATCCATTAGATCTAAGGTTCAATATATGCTTTCTAAGCTTTTGTATGTAACTGTAACTTGCACTAAGGTTTGGGAGCAGGAACTCTGCTTTATTCTACAAACATTTAAACAAAATTAACTTTTAAGCTTAGGGCAAGATGCGATTCAAACTTGAATTTTGCTCATATGGTTACCACGACCAAGCTAACTGTCAAATATGGGAGGGACCGGTTAGAAAAGTAGTGAATAAAGTAAAGAACAAGGTGGATTTCTTTGATCAGCCTGGTGTCAGATTTGAATTTGCTTAATGGAGCACTTTACGGACCAACCTTTTATATTCTCGTTGATTAACTTACAATTATTAAGTACAGTCATAAATGTTGTGATCCCGAGGTAAGTATAATCAACTAAAGTCTTGAAGAACTCATGAGAAAGGCCGTTAAAGAAACTGTGAATGAGAGCGCAAAAACGGTTGAATTTACTTTAATCCAAACTAGAGGCATATTATAGCACGTACTGCGTATGTATGTCGTTGTGGACGTAGTTCAACAAGAATTCAACAAGAATCCAACAGATAGCAGCAATAAACAAAATTGCTAGCAGGCCCTCAGTATTGCCAAATTTCGGAGCTAAGTACCTGGACCCCCGGGTACTCCATTAAAAAATACCGCAAAAAGGCGTCAAGCTCATTTTTGAAGTCAATTGTGTAGATAATGTAGGCCACACTCCTGTTAAGGTAGTCAACAGAAGATGGAACCTGGTTGGTCTGTCTTACGCTCCTTGCACACTACACAATTTCACCCATAAAAGAAAATATCAACAGGATTTTTTATGGGTCTGTTGCTTTCATACTAAGCTGAGTTTTAACTGAACAAGTCAAACTCAGATCTCCACTCCACCAGATAAGTTTTTTATATGTTTTTTGGGAAGTATTGGATAGTTGAATATGGATCACAAACAAATCATTGCTGTGTTAATGTTTAGCTGACGTAGAAAAGTTTAAAAAACCCTGGTCGTGTCTACTGGGTTCATCCAATGAATAAATAAACGGTATCAGCATTCTGACACATACTTTCTCCCATAAGTTTGTCAACAACCTTTATCATGTGTAAGCGGTGAGAGTACGGAAATGGGATTTGTACAATTTTCTTCAGAATTTAAAGGACTATAACATACTAAATTTTTATCAAAATCGTTCGAGACAATTTTGGGAAAATCTTTTTTTCCGTTATTTTATGGGGTTTTTATGGGAAAATAACATAATTTACAATAACTTTTGAACCGTAATTTTTACAGAGATGGGATTTGTACCATTTTGTTCAGAATATAAAGAACTATAACACACTAAATTTTTATAAAAACCTTTTGGGCCATTTTTGGAAAAATCCTATTTTTCCGTTATTTTATGGGGTTTCATGGGAAAATCCCCATTAAAAATAAAAATTTCAAAAAAATGAAAAAAAAACTATCAAAATTGTAAGGACCATAACATACTATGTTAAATCAAAACCGGATTTTTGTCTAAAATCCTATTTTTCGTTATTTTATGGGGTTCTTATGGGAAAATAACATAATTTACCATAACTTTTGAACCGTAATTTTTACAGAAATGGGATTTGTACCATTTTGTTCAGAATTTAAAGGGCTACAACATACTAAATCTTTATCAAAATCGTTCGGGCCATTTTTGAGAAAATCCGATTTTTCCGGTATTTTATGGGTTTTTATGGGAAAATCCCCATTAAAAATCAAAATTTCAAAAAAATGAAAAAAACGCCTGGAGATACCATGGATTAGAACCTACATACCAAATTTCATCGAAATCGGACCTCAGGTGTAGTCTCTAGCTCTGTACACATCCAGACACACAGACACACAGACACACAGACACACACACACACACACACACAGACATCACTTCGAAAACCACTTTTTTGGGTCTAGAGGGACCCAAAACAAATATATCCACTCAAAACTCAAACTCGAAAATTTTGACGAAAACAATACTTTCTCCATATACTATGGTATAGGGGGAGAAAGTAAAAAACGTGAAGAAGTGGGGCTGTTTCAGGTCCTTAGAAAAGAAATATATATCATGGTCAAGACCAGGTCTTTCTTTTAGCTAATCCGTCTTTATAAATGTCTGAAGATTTTTCACATAGCACAACTTTTGATTCAACTAGTGAAATTAAAACTTCAAGGTTAATTTAATCCATAATTTAAATTATACAAACAGAAAAGTAATCAATAACTTGGTAATTTAAACTGTACAAACAAAATAATTCAAAACTACACGCATTGAACTGTACTCGGCGATGGCTCCCGGACGACTAAACCACCCTGTAGTGTGCAAGCAAGTGCTCATTTGGTCAAGTTTTCCATTGAACTGGAGACCTGGTTTTTCCCTGGCTAAGAGCTGGCCTCTGCAGTTGCATCGGCCGGGCGCAACCCAGGAAATAATCGAGCCCAATTTGTAACCAGCTGATGTGAAAGGTCCCATATGCTCTTTTAGTCAACTACAAATATCCGCCTGTCAGATTTTTTCACACATCAATCTTTGCTTTAGGATATTTCTATTGTAGATCGATCCAAGTAGTTTGTACGCAAGACAGATCTCTTAAAGACAACCGGAGGTATATCGCCGTTACAAAAAAGTTACTCTATCAATAAATCTGTCAAAAATTATGCTTCTTCCATAGTTAGTCGATACTTAACGAAGATGTAGTAAGAAGTCAGTGACAGTAGTCAGTAGCGCCTATGGACTACGAACTCGAAGCAACAATGTTGTAGGTTCACATTCCATTGCTGCCGCTAATAATCAACAGTACACTACACTTTTGTACTGTACCAATTCACCCCTTGCATTAATTTATACTTCCCCCACCCAAACCCATGATATGAATTCCAGGTTTAAAGATAAAACCAACTTCTATAAAGAAAAGGTAAAAAAACATTTCACACAACAAACCATGCAAGAAAGTTGAGGTACTCACAGTCGAGTGTCTCCAGTAGAATATGAGCTCATGGATGTCAGTTGACGGAGCGTAGAGCAGGAAGTCTCTCCACTCGTTGAAGCTGATCTCCAAACTGCCATCCTGGTCCATTCTGCAATCACAACCATTGACTTAGTGAAGAGATACCTTAAATGTGGATACCCCCCAACACCGACCAGCCAAAAGCATGTAATCTTATAGGATTACAAAACTCATCAATGTCTTAGAATATCAAGTATAATTAGTATGCTTAGAAAATATTTTAAACACACCATACATCGACCATACACTTTTTTCAGCTTTTCACACCTTGCAGGCTTACTACACTATTTTATGTCCCTCCTTCACATCACAGCTGTAGCTCGGAACCGTTTTACAAATTACTTCAGGCGTAGCGGGTCGTTATCACTTAGATAAAATCCATTGGTAGTTGGTACCAATTCGTTACAAGGCAAAAATGTGGTTCGGATTCCACTATAAACTGTAGGTCCCTTAGTTGTCATTAGCTGTAAGGGCTATTAATTAACAGCTGTGACTAGGAACATGTCGGCCTTAGTCACTAACAAGACTACAAGATCGCGCCACTCATCCTACACTCATCTCCTCACACTTGGATTAAAAGACCTACATTCATATGGTCGCCACTTCATAAGAAAGTATAGAGAAATAGAATATTTCTCTGAAAGAGACTCACAAAACTATTTTCTAATTTAATTATAAGTGCTACAGCTGTTTCATATAGATAGGATGTTTAACCTAGTGTTGAAAAGTCAATGATGGAATCGATACAGATGTTATTTGGATGAAACCGATAAAACGTATTTAACTATTTATTACTAAATCTTATTCACTGTTGCTACCGTTTGTTGAATAAATAAATAGATATATGTTCAGATTTCAGAATTTTTCTCCCCAGTTATCTTAAATTGCAATAATTCATTATTTATTACCCTTTACAGTGTCATACCTTGCGTAGTTCACACAGACGCTGAGTAGAAAAGATTTTTTCTCAATGCTTAATATGCAATCATATTTCAGTTAATTACAAACAAAGAAGCTTAAAACAAATTAACAGCTTGTTTGTTAAGTGAAACACTGCAACTGACAAGAATTTCCATATCTTTAAGTGGATGAATCACACTAAATTTGAATGAGTAGCCATGAGATATATTTGTGTACAGAATCATCATTGACTAAGCAAAACGTCAACGTCTCTTTAGTCATGATACGATTTACATACAGCTATGTCTATTTCAGTAATAATTATTTCGATAAACTAAAACAAACATTTATTTTTATGATCAATAGGTTAGGCCCAGAATACTTATCTAAAAGATACAATTGGTTGTATTAGATACTGTACTACTTTAATATATTTTTTAAACTTATTGGAGTTTTCTTTATCTTTATTTCCTATGAAAATCCTTTAAACATTAAGCTCAATAGTTGTGATTTTTTAAATTCTTGCCTGTGAAAGATTACTAGTGTGTTTATGTTTATGTTTATATTTTTATCAAACACAGTAAATTTATTTATTTCATACTGGGCTATTAATTTTTACAAAAAACTCACTTTACTACCCTCCCTGTAGTAGCAAACCTAGTTACTCGTCAAACCTAACGTAATTTAAATAGACAAGCTGTAATTGAAAATCCAATCAGGTAAATGAAAATTGACTTAGTTAGGTTTGCTGCGGCGGGGGTATTTAGTTGTGAAGAATAGATTAGGAAAATATAACTTTATAAGTTGCTTATAACAAATATGGTCCAATTAATAATTTGTCTCATTAATTTGGATTAACTTTAAAGAATGTTGAAAAAAATAAAAAAAAGTTGTTGGAAAATATTTTTGCTAAAATTTTGTTTTGAAAAGAATATTCCTCGGAGTATGGATTTATCAGAGCTAATTAAGTAACTGAGGACTTGGTCCATTGCCAAAGCCAATTCTCAATTTCACATTTATAATTCTGTTTTCAACGAGAGTATTGGATAAAACATCCAGCAACCTGAGGTAAAACCAATGTGTTTTGGTCTGTTCGGAATTTAAAAGCAAAGTTAAACAAGTTATTCAGTGAAGGAAATCTGATAATGTAAACCCAGCTTATCACCTTGTGATAAACAAGTACATCTAATTTCATTAACAAACCTTGTTTGCACATGATTGCTAACGAGTTAGACATGTGAGGGAATAATTATTTAAATAAGCAAAAATTTATGTTACTTGACAGAACATGAGTTAAATCTATTTTTCGCCACACTACATTGTTTTAATGGAGTTTCCCTAGAGGGACAGTTTTTTTTTTTTTGTCCGGAAAACAGTGGTTTGCGACCTGCTTAATCAAATAGAATTTCATTACTGACTATAATAATTGGCCATGAGAGGTTAAACAAAAACATAACCTCTCTTAGAAGTTATTAGCAGTGATTAAGTCCTTTGGCCAGTGGGTATATACAGGGTGGTCATAAATTATTGTACACATTTTAAGATGAAATAAATAAAAAACCAAGCAACATACAAACATGGAAATTTGTTCATTAAATAGCAAATTTAAAACAGTTTTATACAGTAACTACAAAAAATTAATTATAAAAATGTCAGCAATTATGAAAAGTAGTTATAAAAACACAGCCAAAATCACCTAAACTGTTATTGTAAGTTATGTTCTTTTGAGATGAGGACCCTTTAGACTGTATGTTGGACACTTCCCAGTTGTTCGAACTGACTGTATCACCATTTTATAAAATTTCTACACGGAGAATTACGGCTGTACTCTAAACAAAACCTTCTTCGAACAGTTATTGCAGATTTACTTTCATTAAACCAAAGACTTTGCATTTTATTGAACCCTAGTAAAATTATTACTTTTAAGTCAGTTTAAGGTTTGATTCACCAAATATCATACACAGCACACAGCTTGTGTAGAATGGTCCATTGTTGGTTTTGCCATGCTAACTATGCCATGCTATCCATGCTGTATATGCCACAACACGAGTCATTGAGGAAAAAAACTTACACAAACTGTTTGAGTGATTTTTACACATTTTTCATAACCGCTTTTTACAATTATTGACATTCATGTAATTATTGTTTTGCCGTTACTGTATAAAACTACTTTAAATTTGCCATTCAATAAAACAATTCCCAAGTTTCTAAGTTGCTTGGTTATTGGTTTATGTAATCTTAAAATGTGCCCAATAATTTATGACCACCCTGTATAACAGATTATAATTTGTACAGTTTTATTTTTTAGTGTAATGTTAGTTAGTACTATGGCCCAAAATGAGTTTACCGTATGGTCATATAGTAACAACCATACTTGTCCAGTAAACACATATTTTACGGGTCAGTAAAGTTGTAAACGATTAAACTGGTTAGGAGCAACAATCAACATAAGATTGTATTTGTATTTGGAGGCAGAAGATCGAGAGAGATGGAAAGCAGTTGTTGGTGCGGCCAAATCCCGCCTTGGGCATAAATGGCCATGGGAGTGAGTGGGAGTGAGTGAGTGAGGAGCAACAATACGAAATCCAAATAAATTTTCAAAATTAAGAAAACCCACGATTAATATAAATTTATTTTGGTTCTTGATAGTCCAGAATATCTTTATTTAAAGAATTGATATTAATGGAAACCTACTGAGTGTTCTGTTTCCCTTAATAAGCCCCTAATATTTCACCTACAACTAGTATATGTAGAGCAATGAACGTTCTAGGATTACGTCCTCACTGAAGTTAAAAATTTTTCTAATTATATTTGTGTGATTTTAGTGATTGTAGGCCTACTGTGGTGGGACATACTAAAGAGAAAGTCTGAACAATCACAAATACAATCTTACGATGAATTGAATCATGTATTTTTATTTTTAAGTATTTGTTAGAAAACATATTGCTGGAGTTCCAACTGAAAAAGACTGATCGTTTAAATCTTTTGCATTTAACAAATATTTGTTTAGTTTAGCTAAACTATTTTTTAAGTCGGTGCTTTCAAATATATTTGGAACAAAAAATACTCTAGACCTGAATGGAATCGTACCTTAAAATTGTTTACAACTGTTCCATAAGAAACAAATTAGTCTAAGGTGTAATTTCTTTTGATTTATTGACGGAGAATCTATGTTTTAACAATTCAAGTACTGATACATAGAATTTAAAGATATTACAGACAAAAAATTAAACATAGTTTAAATTCAACAATAAGGTCCAATGAAAAAAAAAACGGAAAATGGCCAGAAAACGAGAATGAATGGACAAACGGCAGTGACCTTGAATTCTGTACAATGTATTCGACCATGATTACAAGTCTCAACTGATTATGAAAATTGCAAGCCAAACAATTCACAAGTGTTCAGGTAGTAAACAAGCACATGTCTGAAATGTTAGACTGGAGAGAAATAAAATAATCAATTTTAACTGTTACTTTTATATGGTGAGTATTTGTGTCCATCACAGTTACTTGCTATGGATTTGAACTGTAAAAAATCAGAAACAGCTGATTTCAAGGAACAAATAAACTACCACTGTTACGACACACTTGTAGACTTAGAGAATTTCCAGTTAATTGAATTTAGATTCAGACAGTTTGTATTCAAAGCAATAAGCAAACAAAATATTGTCAAACAATGAGATATCAATTATATGTAACAATTTACTTGGTATTGTTTGGTCGCTGGTTCTTCTGAACTCATATGATTGAAAGCAATTTATACTTTGTATAACAAAACCCTGGTTTAAACCTCAATATAAAAAAGGTTCCCAGTATAACAAATTTTATAGTAACAGTATTGAGCTTCAAAACGCAAAATTACCATCTATATAACAAAATATTCCGTCACAATCTCAGTATCAGAGAAACACTGAGAAGGGAACAAACTGGACCCCTCAAAGGGGATTTAAAGTTTAATTTATTTAAATAAAATTAAAAAAACAAAACAAAAAATAATCGAATCATGAGAGTGCCATGACCACTTATTTTAGTCATGATGACTTTGTAGTATGCATATTACCATTAATTTATGATTTCTTAAGCTAATAGTACTGGTACTACTTTGCTTATAATAACCTAGACGTATAAAAATCATCATATCAGCCTCTAAAAGCCTGCATAGTTTAATCTTAAATTGTTATTAAATAATCAGATTGTTAAGTTAGCCTAATAGTAAACTATTAGCATTTTACTAATCACTTTAGGCTTGAAATTCATAAAAGGATGTTGTCATCAAAGTTTGGAGATTTCCTCCTAAAATGTCCACAAAGTCTTGTACAAAAGGTAGGCCTAAAGTATCCTCTTTTCATTCTGGATTTATAACCTGTTACATTTGTAAAGACGGGTTGCAGATAGAACGGCCATTTTTTATATTCACCTGTCCGAATAACCTGTGGGCCCAGTTTTTCTTGTCGTAAACAATATTTAAGCACTCTTAAGTCATTTGCTGTGTTTATTTTGAGTAAGAATGTATAAAACAGTGCAAGTTATAGAAATCAATTTTTCTTCGATTTAAAACTCTTGCATTTAGACCATGTGTCCTTGTCTTGGAAGGGTTAATAAGCGCACACAACGAAAACACATTTTGATATGAATAAAGTAGCATGCATTACGAGTGTTAGTATGATCTTGATATGAGTTAGCCCATTATGTATTCCAAAACACCTGATTGAAAAACACCACTTTAAAGTGCACTGTCATCAGCTGTTGTGACTAAACAATCACACTAGCTCAATTTAGAAACCTATCATCAGTTGAGAGTTGGCTTCTTAAATTAAATGTTGTTACAAAAAATAAAAATTCATGTTAATTCTGTTTGGAAATTTAATTGCCTTTGAATTTAGTTGGACTTGAAGTTCAAACTGCAAATATTGATATTATAACAAAATGAGTTAACTGCAGAAACGGTAGTCGTACAAAATTATGTGATTGGAAGGCCTCTGCTTACAAACATGCAGATTTTCAATTTCAAGAAATGCACATACATTTCTCACCCTACACACCATCCTAATTTAGCACGATCTTAACCATAAGGGACTTAAAAGTGGTAATTTTCAATGCAGCGGTTTTGAAAGTTTTACGGGTCGTACACAAAGACAAACATGCATGTAAGAGCAAGCGGGACTACCTCTGGAGAAGATTCTTCGCCTCATAGCTGTCTATTTCCACACCAAGCTCTTTGAATGCTCTTATAAGTTCCTCCAAGTCAATCTTGCCTGTTCACACACAACACAACTATTCTACACACCGGTATTAGAAACACATATTCTATCGTAACTATGTTAGATGGTCAGTTTTTTAATCCATAACGCTAAATAGCTTGACAACCAAAATATATAGACAACAAAATGAAAAAAATAAAAAAAAAAATAGTTTTAAATAATTTGACTAATAGTTTTGTGTATAAAATAGTAGCCAACTATGAAGTGTAATATGTAGGCATGTTGGGCTAAATTAGGCCCTATGTAGGCTTAATGGATAAGCTTCCACAGTCAAATATTGCAAATGCATGGTCTTTCGGCATCTACGAGTCAAAATCTACAGACCATTTCCATTCACCGAAGTTTCAGACTGAATGTAGTAGGCAAGAGATAAACAAAAGCCAGTTGACGTATCAAATCACTTGATCAAGTCGACGATGGAAATTTATATAATGGCCGAAAAGACAGTGAATGTAAGCATTTCGTTGATTTTGACACATTAGCTTTTAAAGACCATGAATCTACAGTACCGGTTCCTATGTATTATAATGTTTTACCAATGAATCATTTAAAATATTTGCTGTTACTACTAAAATTTTACACCTTAAGGGAAGTAAAAATAAATTTTAAACTTCAACTTAGACTTTTCAGTCACTAGTAGTTTGTAATATGATTTTAACCTCTAAATTACCAGTTGAAAAGTTTTGCTTTCATTTCAAAATGAAAACTTGTTCCCTCCTTAAATGGTTTTGAAAAGAAGAACCCACCAAGATCACTTCACCCCATTGACTAGCTAAGTTTAAGCTATTAGTGGGCCTACATGAAACAATTATTTTGTACTTCTTTTAAAATAATGGAAACACAATTCTTAACTTAAATTATCAAGAACTGCTGATAAATATATTTTACTACCGTTATCACAATAGTGATTGTATCACAAAGCAGCCTCGTATTAACGAAAAAGCAAAACAAAACTTTACATAAGCTAATCATATAGCCTAAGTTGAAGATTTTGATAGTTCTATTGTTTTACGAGTGTACTATAGCTATAAACCCATAAACATTAAGGACTATCACTAGATAACGTACCATCTCTGTTCTTATCAATATGTGAGAATCCCAGCCTGAGATTCTTCTCGTGCTCTCTTACGTAATGAATAAATTCTGCCAGAGAAATGTCCCCACTTTTGTTGGAGTCGGACCTCTCCAGGAATTTCTGGAAGAAAAAATACTTAGAAACATTTTTAAATTTGTAAAGAGTTCCCTGTTTCAAGAACAAATTATTAATTTTTAATTAATAATTTAGGTTTACCTTATGACTGCCAGGTTCTTGAAGAATGTGAAGATATGAAGCCCGATGTATATTTCACCACAAATTGTGGCATCATCAGGAAGAGAGTTTGTAATTGTCACTCTAAAACACTATGATATTTATTCACATTATCGGTTGACGGACGATTTACGACACAGGCGTAGGAATCTGAGTATGTGCACAGACCGGAGACGCTACATATATCACTGTCTGACTGTCCCTGATCCTGATGATGCCACACATATGGCAAAATGTACATTGGGCTTCAAATCTAACTTACATTCTTTAAGAACCTGGCAGTCTAAGAACCTGGGAGTCATAAGGTAAACCTACAAAACTTATATCAATAAAGGTTACTTTTGTATTACAAGGAGGTCACTTATTTCAGAGGGATTTTTTTCGGAGACCAAAAATACCTACAATTGGAACATAGGCCTACTTTAATTGACTTGCAGTCCAAATTTGACATAGTACAATTAGCGGCCTTTGAGTTCTGCCTTCGAGAAGGCAGCGATGTCGGCAAGGATTGAGTTGAATGCGTCGCCACCGCTAGCTGCCACATGTACTCCGCCAAGTAGGTATAAAACGCGCTGCGACGGTTAGGTTGGGTTATCATAAATATGTTTGTAGGACTTTCCTCATTCCGTTATGAATCAAACGATACCACATGAGTCATCACTCAGGTTATTGACCCAGATACAGACAGGTGATACACGCGCTCCAGACAACGATCTGACCTTGGCCTACTTGGAGGAGATTTGGCAGGCGAATGTATGACTCATCTGGTATCGTTAGATTCATAACAAAACAAGGAAAGTCCTAAAACATATTAATAATAATCCAATCCAACATTTAACTGCCGTAGTGGGTTGTATAAGTGTGACCTCCGTAGAATATGAAAGAACCCAATAAAGATTAATCAATTCTGAACATGTTTTGAGAGAGACAATTTTTGGTTAGGGATATCAAGTTACTCTCATTGTGTTATCAATCTATAAATTTATAATAGGTACTTTTTAAATAAAATGAACGATGATTAGGCCTAGTTATATTAATTTTTGGTGACACTTAAAATATCTTGATTTATAGTGTAAATTTGATTGGATGATGACTTGCTTGATTTTTTTTATCAATCAGACCTATTTAGAAAGCCCAAATAAATGGTCTACAACCAAAGAATGAATAGCATAAAAAGGGACCTCTTCTCCTATGCCAAACTAACCTAAATAAAATTTTTTTTTAATGGTGTGAAAAAAATTACGTACCGTAGGTACCAAGTGGTAGGGCCAAAATATACATTTTTAAAATCTTTATGTGGATTTTAACTGCCAAATAGCCTACAGCTTGTGCAAGTCTTTAAGGCACTGAGATTTCCTCGCCAAATTTGCCACCTGTACCGTACTTGACCTGTTGCGTTTTTGGTTGGTGCAGCTGGAAAAATCTGCTCAGTCTAATCTCATAAAATAAAATAAATCAGCCTAAGTTAAATAATTCAGTTCAAAGGTTGTACCGTAGGCCTAATGTTGTAGCCTACAAGGGCCTTTTAAGCAATCGTCAAGAAAATTAAATCAAATCTAGTTTATAAAGCGGCCCACACACTAACTTAACTTAAAATTAAGTTATATGTGCATGGTAAGCTATGTCAAAAACAGACAAAACGCCAATATAAGATGGGGAACACCGTGCAAGCAAGTCGCAGCGGAAATCAAGACCAGTTTATTTTTTGGTGTGCCGTGCTAGTGTGTAGGCAGTCCTAAGACACTTGGTAGTAGTTTAACATCTTTTGAGGTTAGGTTTGAGGATAGACAGCTTGTAACGTAAATGCTTAGGCCTATGAGTGTAGGCTATAAGTTATTTGATATTAGTTATAAGTAGGCCGAGTTCAGACCACAAAATTGCCATCAATATCGTCCAGCCTTATACACAGTGTAGGCCTAACTAATGTTCTGGGAGCATGTAGGCCTAAGTTACCTAGTCTTAGCTTGAGAAAATCTAGCTATTCTTATTTTATAATGTTGTCTGCGGATGGTGGTTATTTCAATGCAAAATCAATTTGAAAGCCTTCCATTCGCTACCCAAATAAACAATCTATCACGGTTCAAATGGCTTTTTTGATAGGTAGGGGCAGGGTTGCCACCTTACGTCAGGAAGAAATCGGGACATTGCCCCCCTCCCACCCAGATTAACATAAGCTTAAATACAGACATAAGGAACCAAAATCGGGACAGTCCCGGCAGAATCGGGACGGGTGGCAACCCTGGGTAGGGGCCTAGTCAATTTACATAATAATAGCCTAGGTAGTGGCAACTAACTGTAACTTAATATTAGGCTAACTTATTTACTAATTACCAGCTTAATAAACATTAAACCATAATCAAAGCAGAATTATGTCTTTCACTATTTTTTATAGAGCCTAGAGAGTAAAAAAATACTTCAAAAACTGACCAACCAATATCCTATTTTTAGTCTCACACCAATATTTAAGGCAGTAAGGCTACTAAATGCAAGTTAGGCCTAGGCCCTGATTACCTCTGCATATCTCTGATGGACACCGAACTCTTTGAGAGCAACAGACAGATCATGAATATCAATTTTTCCATTTCCATCCAGATCTAATGTCTTGAATAGTTTTTCCAGCCTTTCTTCATCTTCTTGAGGTAGTTCATGCAGATAATGAGGAGGATGGCCTACAATTGGATTTGCTGGGGTTAGCAAAATGTTACCTCCTACCATATTACTATGTCAGCAAGAATTTCAATGTCTTGATCAAATACTTTGAGTCTATTAATAAGTGTCGGTTAAAGAGAAATAAGTCTGCATGTTTAAAAACGAGTAAAATCTAGGTTATGCACTTTTCATCGGGAGGGGTTGAATGAAAGTACGACACACGTTGAACACAATTACGTCATTTTAAATTAATTATTTACTACTTATAAATGCAATAAATTTTACTCAGACTCAAGTAGTATCGTAAATTAACTAAGGCATCTGTAACAATAAATTAACCCGAGAATAAGTTATGGTACGTTACAGAAAATTACAGAAAGCTGACAATCAACAATGCGGAATCTGTCAGCTGTTGTAGCAGACCACTGCAATGCACAGCATTACATAGAAGTACCTACAAAGAGAACTGATGGGCTACTTTTAAAGCCATTGGTTTTATAGCATAACAAAATGTTCTACTGTACCAGTTACCTGGGGCCCATTTCATTCATAATAAACTACAAGTTACAACAACTTGAACTTGTAGCTTGTAATTTCCATTAGATTTGCATTGGGCGATCAGCTGATTTACTAATAATATTAGTTTGTACTTTATTATGAAAATGGCCCCAGTACTGTATAAAATAACTATTAATCTATTTCATTATGTCTTTCTATAAAAAAAGGTTAGCTTAAAAACAATATGAAAAATACAAGTTATCCAAGCTTTAACGGAACCTACATAATATAGATATAGGGGTAGTATGTTTGATCACTCCGACAAGACGGCTACGTTACGTAGCCGTCTTGTCGGAGTATCAGCAGTGGCGGTCCCAGGGGGAGGGGAGGGATATCCCCCCCCCGAAATATATTTTTTTATTAGCTAACATAAATAATAGGCCTATTAGCTTGAGCATATTTTAGAGCTCAAATACGCATAAAAATACGTTTTTAGGATCTAAACTCCCCAATATTTTCGGGGGGCCCCGGATCCTTTTTTTCTGGTGGATATTCCATACCCCCGCTGGTCAGCCACCCCCCCTCCCGTTGCTGTAACATTTTTTTAAAAAGCATATTGTTCCCATAAGGTCCTTTAAACAGTATTTTTTTTGGAATACCACATAAACCCTGGAGGTTTCTTAGACACCAGTCTCAAGTGGGTGCTAAATGCAAGTCGCGATCCTTAAAGTTTGCTCTACAGAATATGAGAATTCTCTTCATAAAAGCTAGATTAAGTAAAATATTTAAAAGAGAGCTCCGATTTCATCTCTGTTTACTGTTTTACAGAACACACTCTTTAAAGAGAGTCATCTTCAAAACTTATGTTTGGAAGGTTGGATGTCAATATGCATGTTACATCTGCAATTAAAGGTCCTCCCTACTGGTGTGGGACACCCCCGTTTGCCACCCCCCCCCCCTTGAAAAGGTTCTAGAATAGAAATGCCACTGATTGGGCTTTTGACAGCTCTGGATGGAGAAACAGCCGATTATAGTCAGTAACAAAAGCTACACTCAATCGTTTACCACACCTCCACTTCTCTTTCATTCATATTATTTAGCCACAGAAGTGGTACAGTAGAACCTCAATTAAGTCACCCTTTACACTGTCACTCTCTGATATCCGTCAACCCGCTACAGTACCTACTTAAGATTATTTTTAATGCGATCCTGTTTCACCGTACATTGAACAAGTACAACATACAAAATTACAGTGAATTAGCTTAGAATCTGTACCAATGTGACTAACGCTGCCTTAAATTGTGAAAAATCTGATATTAGTCAGTAGCAAAGCGCAAAGCTATACTACAGGTCATCTCTCCCCATTAAAATAATACAAATTTAGCTTAAAAATGCACACAAAGTAGATTGCTTTCTAAATAAAGTGATTTAGCGACATACCTCAAGGAAGATGAAATAAAACACAGTTATAAGCATAAGAGCAATTTTATCAGTCATTGACAACTTGTGTTAAAATAAACTAGCATTGACCATGCAATGTTATATATCTTCATACAATAGAATATGTACTCCCCTAACCACCAAATATTACACGAGTGATTAATATAATCTGTTGTAATATTACATGTGCAACATGAGTTCGATATACGTAACACACTAGATATTGATTAATAAGTCGACTCGGAGACCAAAAAAGTAGCAAACTTCAAGCTCGCAACACACAGACAAAAAAAAAACACAAAACGGGACAAGAGACCGAAAGCTCAGGATAGGTTTACAATGATCCGACAAAAACCAAACATATGATTCCACAAACGATTATTGCTTTACGTAGTTCAATCTAAAAAAATGCAAAACAGATCGGAAGCGTTCAGTCGTGAGCCACTGATTTGATCCCCTGACGTGCTACGATCTACACCGTCCAATAATTGCCACCCTCCCAAAACGGAGATTGCCAATAGTCTGCGACTCGGTTAAAAAGTTCCAAATAAAAGAACTTAAAAATATTGACATCAACATGTTTAACATGTACCTTATGTATAACACTGTTCAGACCCAACTGAATACATTCTGTTACAATTTAGACGTTTTGATTGTTATAAACATTACTCTACCTATGCTAACTGCCGTCTTAAAAAAATCTTATTTACAGAGTGAAACATGTGCGGCTGTATCGGTTACAAATTCCATGAGCCGATTTACACTTGTTTTAAAAATACTTTGTATTCATGCCAGTTTAAGATGAACTTAGTAAATTAGCTTTGGCTTTATAGAAGTCACTAACACAAAATATTACCTACACGTTCCAACAGTTGTGCTATTCAATTAAATGGTTTTGTTACACATTTAATTATTAGTACACATTTTAAAAACTATAGTACGAGTTAGGAAGTTAGGATCCAAGCAGATAGTGATGACTTGTGGTGAGAAGAAGTACCAATTTTTTTTCGAGCTCATTCCCTAATGTTTTCTGAAATATTAGTTACATTACTAAAAAAAGTTAAGATTTTAATAAACAAATTAATTTTTTCCAACTAAGAGCAACAAATGAAAATTTCACTGATTTGAAACAGAATTTTGGAAATAAACACTGAACATTGGGAATAGTTAAAGTATTCAAGCCTTTTGAATTGTATCAAGAAAAATATTTTTTTGTGGCCTCTTTTAACCACGCAATTGCTCGTCCACATAGACCTCAGACCTGTGCGTTGAAAATTTCTAGCAAAGCAAGGGGTAAGCCAGAACAGTATTACGGTGAATTGTACTGATAAAATTTAGTGGCGAGCACCAGGACGCGAACCCTTGACATCGCTGTCATAGATTTGTAGTCCGTCGTCCTTCCAATAACTCCAAAAATTATACTAACTACTCCAATTGTAATACTCTACTGCCAAATTTTTTTATATGAAGGAAATGCTCAAAACTAAAAATTACCATTTTAGAAATAAAATTCAAATATGAATCCGCTTGGACCCTTACTTAAATTATGTAGGATTTATGTTGGTTTTTACATTCTTTTCACATTTTGCTTAAACACAATTGTACAATCTTATCAAACCTTTATTGTTGGCACAGAATTAAATATGAGTTAAAAGAGTAATTTTCAATTACAAAACGTTAGTTATTTACAAACAGTAAATAAATATGGTTAAATTTGTTTCCTTGAACATTAAACTAGAACTAAGGTTTTTGTAAAGGATAGGTTTATCAGAGGGCTTACCTTACTGACGGAAATAGTTGAAAATGTACAAACACATAACATGTTGAATTTGTAGTTTCATAGACTCTACCACTAAAAGAAGGTGCTGGCTTTGAAAGTTCTATATGCTTATTTATCCATTTTTATATATTTTCGTCAGTAAGGCAAGCCTTGTGTTAAACATATCTATTACAAAATCCTTACAAACCCTGGCCTAAAGCCATCTTTAACAAAAACGTTATAAACTAGAACAGTACAGTATTTAATTTAGCATTAAAAATAGAAAAAAATATACAATCTGAGTTAAAACTGTTTTAGGCTGTATTATACCTTAAATTAACACATTCATAACTTCTAAAATACAGCTTTGAAACATGAATACAATGAATTATGTACGGCTTAGCTTTGAAAACTATCAAATTCCTAACTGGTAATCTCTCGTAACTCCTCTAAACATTAATGATTTAAACTACTTCTAAGAAAGGCAAAGGCGATACATTACATGGTATAAAATCTACTTATTAAGCGCTATTTACAAAAAGTTCAATCCCAAAAAAACCGTTGATGAAAATAATCAAACATAGTACAATGGAAAGACAGTAAAGTAACTGATTCACTTTTACAACTGTTGAAAACGTGTGGATCCCACAATAAATTAATAATCTATGAAAACGATTATTGTAAAATAACATTCTACAAACAACAATAAGCGAGGCACGTCAGCTTCCAATAAAACTGGAAGAAATTTTTCTTCTTCCGAAATTCAGGTTTACGTGGAAAAATCAATAAACCATAAAAATGACAGGACTCACATCAGTCCTTTGAGTTTAGAAAACTATTGTATAAAAATACATAGATTTAAACAGTAACATTGAGAATGAGTCTTACTCATGCGGTGCAGTTTCAATATACAACATAAACTGCGTAAACTACAGACACGGACTAGGCTAGAAGCAGCGTCTGCCGGCTGCGGCTGTCCCTGACTAAGTAGCGGAAATGATTTACAAACGTAGCAGTAAAGAAACACAATGAACAATCTACAGGGATTTGCTAAAGGGAGGAAACAAATTGAGTCGTAAAAATTGTTTGCAGTTTGATAAATTTTAGTTTGGACATTTTGAGAAAGTTGTTATAAATATTTGAATCTAAATTATATATAACTGATCAGTAAACTATTATTAACTGTTAAGTTACGAGGTGAGTGACATCCGCAGCAGACGAGACACTAAACATAGTTACACATTTACGAGGCTCGGCCCGTCACTGAACTGAAGACACAAGATTGGCACATTGTCAGCAACAAGCCTTACGAGCCTCACGACGTTACATATATACAACACATAGTACAGGTTATATATTGCTAAACAATCTCCCACAATCCTGTAAGTAATCCCTACTTACGCAAACTAGAAAAATATAACAAACAATACTATATCATAACATTAAATACACGATAAACTCTGGATACAGGCAAACAATTAGAGTAACTATAATGATAATCGTTACGCTTACGATAAATAATATTTTCAGAAAACAAAACTGGTATATTGTTTGATTGGAATCAAAAACAACAGGTAACACAGATAACGAGGAAAACGATCAAAAATATTGTAAATACGGTTATTTACGTAAATTAACAGGATTATTGCACTACTGATAAAAACAGTATTGATAGCCTATCATGCGTCCACAAATGCCT